TGCAGAGGGCCGGCTTTGGGTTGCCTTGGAAACCGGCCTGGGCCGCGGGGCGGACTGGGGGCACGGAAGGCGGAGAGCGCGGCCCAGAGGGCGGCACCTGAAGGCCGCGAGGGTGATGGGCTGCAGCCACCGCCTCCCAGGACCCCGTGGCCTGTTGTCGGTGGGGGCCTCCCCTGTTCCCCGAACCCCAGGGGTATCTCCAGGCCTCGGTTTCCCTGGCTGTCCTGACGGAGCTGTAGTCTGGTCGCGCCCTGGTTCTCTGTCCCCCCACCCCGCCTGCCAGCTCAAAGCAGTTTCCCAGCACCCTGAAACGGGGCATGCAAGGGGATGGATGCTCGCCTGGAGCTTGGGGGAGCCCGCCCCCGCATGGATATCCCTCTGGGGAAAGTGACTGCTTTTCCCTGAGGACACCAATGGGTGGGGGCGAACGGGGGAGAGCGGGCGGCGGCGGAAGACCAGCCTACTGAGCCTCTGTCGCCGGTCAAGTGTTTGATTAATCTGAATTGCCCAGAAGAATGTCCCCGCTGTCATGAGCCACCTGCATTCCGAGTCAGTGGCACCTCCCTGGGGGAGAAGCCTGTCTCTCTAAGCCCCTGAGAGGGCCTGGCCTGCCATATCCGAGTTAAGTAAAGCTGATTACCCACCCAGAGGCCCTGCTGCAGAAAGCTCTGGCGGTCTGCGCCTGAAAGGTGACCCCGAGGAACCCCATGGGGGCCTTTCTAGCTGCCCGCATTCCGTGGCCAGGGCTCAGGTCCCACTGGACATCCCTCTACAGAAGCAGCAACAACAGTGTTGTGTTTTTAAGGAGCCCCGGTGGCATGGCTGCTAAAGAGCTCATTTGAGAAACCTGTAGGTCGGTGGTTCAAACCCACCAGCCGCTGTGAGGGAGAAAGATGAGGCTGTCTGCCTCCTGCCAAGATTCCCAGTCTTGGGAGTGCCCCATAGGGTGGCGATGAGTCAGAATCGAAGCCCTGGTGGCACGGTGGTTAAAGCACTCCTAAAGGTGTTTTGAAACCAGTGACCGGAGAGGTGAGAGATGTTACAGTTGGCTGTGAATCTCAATCAGCTGGGCGGCAGTGGGTTTGCTGTGATGCATGCTGCCACGGCTGATGCCTAGACGTGAGAGGTCGCCCTGGGCCTGTGAGGCCCCATGCGTCATGTCCCTCCATGCCTGGTGGAAATAATAAAATAAAGGATTCCACAATGCAGGGTTGGAACCGCCACGGCCCTCCACCCATCCTCTTAGCCCTGCCCGGACCTCTCCCGCCTCACTCGCTGGTGTCACTGACTGGGCTTGTTTTGCATCAGAAATTGGACTCTTTCTTTGGGACAGGAGAAAAACATTCCCTCGGCGTCACACACCCTGCTGCCCGGGCCCCAAGTATCTGTGTGAGCACAGGGAGCAGAGGGGAGCAAGAAGGCTGTGCTTCCACAAAAACAGATCTGGTTACTGGCCAATCAGGAGGGTTCTCCTGCCCTCCACTTACCCTTTGAAAATCGGAGTCCCTGAGATTTTGACAAATCGGCTGCACCCTTAAAAAAAAATTTTTTTAAAGGGCCCCCAAACCTTGCTTTCTTTGCGTGAACTTTCACCTCGTGGTGACGCCATGCAGCAGTCTAAAACTGATCCCGGGTTTTTTCTCAGCTGTTGTCCAGGTGCCAGGTCTTTCTAACGTGGTGCCTTTCAGTGAGCTGAACTGCTTGACCTTTGATTCGTAGTCAAGGGCAAACCTAGAGGGACACCCTGGGACTAGCCCATCTGTTCTGTTGCATCACGTTTTGACACTCAGGCACCAGGCGTCTCTGACCATGAAAGAAGGTGGCCACTGGCTCAGCACCCCGCCAAGATGGCTGCAAGGAGACCACCCTCAAGGAGAAACCTCTCTTCTCCCCGCCATCCAGTCTGTGCTGACTGACAGCAACCCTCCAGCATAGGGTCGAGCTGCCTCTGTGTTTCTGAGACGGGAACTCTTTACAGGAGTAGAAAGCCTTCCATGAAGTCCACAGTGCCGTGGCTGCAGGTCCCCCTTGGTTTGTGGGGGCTCCTTGCGCATAAGAAGGCGTTTAAGGCAGAGCGAGAACCCCTTCTCTCCCTCCCCACATTCTCTCCTCTTTTCATGATGTTGCTCCTCTTGCTCACTTGGCTTTATCCCTGGCCGGGAGGGCCCTGACCAAGGCGTGTGTGTACCCAGGAAGGGGAAGGGTCAGTGCTTTTGCACAACCCCTCTCGGCCCTGGAAGAAGATCGAGCAGATTAGTGTCTGTAACCTTCTATATCTTTCTGTGAAAGCGGAATTGTGTGAGTCCCCGGGGTGGCACAAATTGTTCAGCATCTGGCTACAAACCAAAGCTTGAGTCTACCCAGAGGCACTTTGGAAGAAAGGCCTGGAATTTTATTTCCAAAAACTTAGGGAAAAGCCTCCGGAGCCCAGGCCTGCCTGGACAGAAAAGCAGGGTTGCTGTGAGCTGTTTGTAAGTTTCAAGTTACAAAGCCTGGATCCGTGTCTTGGTGTGGCATGCTCGTTCAGGATCTCTAAGTTCCTGGGCACTGTGGGTTTTCTCTTCATTTTCAGCAGTGTGTGTAAATCCTCAGATACCAGCCCTAACGCTGGAGTGGGGCTCCCCGCACCAACAGCTGTCGTGGGTGGAAGGCTGCAAGCCAGCTGCTTTGAGCACGGTTCCCGGGACCCCATTCAGGAACAGACATGGCAGGAGTGTGAACACTGTGGCCAGTGAAAGGGGGTGCTTTTGGAGGGGCAGGTCTTCCAGGATCATGAGGGGCACCTGCTAGTCGCTGTGGAATGGGCACCTGTAACTGTCAGGGGTGGTTGCTCAGTGGGTGGAGAGGTTGCTCTCGGGTTTGGTTCTCCGGCCCCCAGTGCTGCTTCACAAACAGACCTCAGAGCTCAGCCTACTGCTGGGAGGTGTCATGTAAGAGAGGTACACTGAGGCAGAGCCACATGTGTGAGCCCCGGGGCAACTCTGTAGCGTCTGCCTGGTGATGCCATGGGGTGTCATTGAGGCAGAGCTGTGCCTTTGTCACCGGAGCACTGTGTGGCGACTCTGTGAGGTGGCAGGCTGAGGGATGGCTGTGTGCTTGGCACCTGAGCATGTGGTGGCAATGCTCTTGGGAGGTAACTCTGGGTCTGACAGGTTGGTGTGGGGAGCTAGAGCCAGCAACCTGGCTTCTTGGGATTAGAGCAGGGCACACAGGACACCTGTCACACATTCCGCCTTTGACGTATTTATTGCCGTGGGGAAAAACCCACACACTCATTCTGCTCATGGCCAATTCTGGAACATTCATGATGCTTGTCGAACTTCCACCCAGCAAGTCGAAGTCTTCAGAAAGCTGGTACCTGGTAAAGGTTGTAAATTGTCCATACTCAAACCCAACCCACTGCCATTGAGTCGGTTCCAACTCTTGGCAACCCTACAGGACAGGGTAGACCTGCCCCTGTGGGTTTCCCAGACTGTGAATCTTTACAGGGCCAGACAGCTTCATCTTTCTCTCTTGAAGGAGGGCTTGATAGGTGGATTTGAACTGCTGATCTTTTGGTTAGCAGCTGCATGTTTCACCACTGCGCCACCAGGCAGTGGGTTATAGGAACAGGAGACATGTCCCCTGTTCCCTACTGCCTCCTCCCATGGGGAGCCTGGCCTTTAGTGTGTGACACTGGCAGACAGGTCAACTTTGAGACCCTAAAGTCAGTGGCTCCCTTCTTTTGGGGGCTTCCCCATTACTCTCCTGCCCAGGCCATCACCCCATATGCCAAAGCCGTGTCGGTTGCCCCAAGACCTGAGGAGGGCTAGGGATGTCAGCCTGGCTGAGGGTGAACACCCAGCATAGGGGCAGGCACTCCACCAGTGCTGCTTTTCCTGGGACCTCGACCACTGCTGCCAGAACCTTCTAGATAACAGGCTCTCCTCTTCTGTCGTGAGGCCGCCCTCAAGGGACGGGGTGGTTTCTCAGTGTTCCGCCTGCTTGTCTGGGTGAGGCCTGAGTGGCCCCAGTGTCATCTCCCCCTTCTGTGCCCCCGGCACTCACAGATGTGTGAAGGAGCTGAGAAGATGTCTCCAGAACCCTCAGTTTCTCGGATCTCCGAGTGCATGGGGATGTAGTGGGCGAACTTCACACAGTCCCTGGGAAAATGGAATGAAGAGTGGTGGAATCTTGCCAGGCACTTGCTGAAGCCCCTGGCATGTCACTGGCAGTTCCAGGGGCTGCTTCCCAGCCCCTGAGCGGGCTGGTGGGTGGACTGCACATTCCAGGCATGCTTCGGCTCTGGGCGGCCCTTGTGGCCACTGCTTGTCCAGCATTTCCAAGTTGCTGTCCCAGACAAGTGTTCTCTCAAGGCAAGCGCCTGGCTTTCTCCTGGTCACCACAGAGTCTCGTGCCAGGGCCTGGGCCAGCGCACCTGGCTGAACATTGCTTTGAGGGTGGATGGCCACTATGAGGTGTTGCCACCTGTCGAGAGGCTCAGAAAGCTGGCCTCTGCTGTGCTTGGGGAGTTCCTAGTGGCTCTGGGTGTGACACCTCCGCCTAGCTGAGGTGCCTGATGCAGGGAGCGTGTTTCCCAAGCACTTGGCCAAGTCCAGCGGCCCCAGGCGTCTCTACCTGGTGGCTTAGGTGTTTCCTAGTAATGCATTTCCTTGAACGGTGAATCCACCCACAGAAAGCTCCTCCTTCCCAGCGTCCTCCTGGGTGGTGTGCTGCACTTTAGCCCAGGACGGCTCTCAGCGACCGTGGGAGCCCACCAGGGCCAAGGGGCCCTCATTTGATCCCAGTGCATCATGGCAGCTGATACTCACCCTGCTTCTCTTTCCTCCCAGGACTCGGCCCAGGCCTCCCTTCCCCTCCCCCGTCGGCTGCCACCCTCAGCCCTTGCCCATGCAGACGCCCCCACCATGTTCTATGGGACGCACTTCATCATGTCTCCACCCAGCAAAAGCAGGCTGAAGCGGCAGAGCCAGCTCCTGTCTAGCATGCTGTCGCGGACGCTGAGCTACAAGTCTCGGGACCTGGAGCCTGCCTTCTGCAGCCCGGGTGCCAGTGACGACCCCGCTGAGCTGTCCACCCAGCTGTCAGCCCCTGGTGTCCTAAAAGTGTTTGGGGACAGCGTCTGCACAGGTGCCCACTACAAGAGTGTCTTGGCTACTGCTGCCTCCAGCGCCCAAGAGCTGGTGAAGGCGGCTCTGGAGCGCTACGCCCTGAGCCCGGAGTGCGCTGGCCAGTATGTGCTCTGCGACGCCGTGGGGCGGGCAGGTAGCGCCGGGCAGCGGTGGCAGGCTGAGTGCTTCCGGGTGTTTGGGGACAACGAGAAGCCCCTCCTGATCCAGGAGCTCTGGAAACCCCGAGAAGGCCTGTCCCGGAGGTTTGAGCTTCGGAAGAGGTCAGACGTGGAAGAGCTGGCTGCCAGGGACGTGGACACCGTCACGGCAGGTGAGGGGCTGTGGAGGGCGCCGAGGGGCCACTGGGGCCCAGGACGTGCAGGGGGAGGAAATGGGGCCGAGTGTTTGTTCTCCACGTGAACACCACTCCTGCCCCCGCTTGTCTCGGAGCTTTTGGGGCACACGCCCCTGCGGCTTGTTCCCTCTTGGGCACTGCAGGTGTTTCTAGGGAGTTCCTCCACTCAGCCCTGGGATTGAGGACTGAGCGTTTGCCCTTTTGTATAGCGCTGTGGAAACCGGCCTCGGGGGCCACCCCTTCTCACTAATACCCAGCATCCCAGGGGCTTCCCTCGCAGCACAGGCAGCTTTGAAACCGTAGAGGCGGCCTCGAACCTGTGCTTGATTGTGCTAAAGTCAGCTGACTGAACAATGTTGACACCTGTTCCTCATCCACATGCCTGTCACCAGGGGCTGCTGAACTGTGCTCCGACCACCCAGGTGCCTCTGGCTTGGCTCGAACCACCAGTCAGTCACCAGTCAGCCGCCGAGAGGCCATCTCCTCGCTGGCTTCTGCACACCTGGCGGCCCTTAGAGTAGGCCCATCCTTTTGCATAGTCAGATCATTGGCACATGCCAGTGTAACGTGGGGTGACAGCGATGGGCCGTGGGGGGATCGAGGGGGAGAAGGTGCCCTGTGGCGCGTTGGGTAAGTGCTCCGTTGAGGAGAGAGGAGGCCCGCTGCTTTGGTAAAGGTGTTGGGCCCTGGAGCCCCATGGGCCAGGGCTCTGCCCTCTAGGGGCACTGGAGGAATCTCCTCCACAGCAGCTTCAGGTTGGTGTTTCTGACGTGAAAAGGCAGTGAGGTTACTGGACAACACCTGCGTGCGCCTGAACGTACAGCACTGCTTAGGGTGGCTCTGCTGGGCACACCTGGCTGCCCAGGCAGTGGGGGCCTCCTTGAGGAAGGAGGTGAGTGAGTGCCGTCCCGTCGGAGGGCAGGGCTGCGGGGAGTGTGTCTGTCTGTGTGGCCGTCATGACGTGGGCTGGACGACTCAAGTTCCTGTGTGTGGATCGGGGCCCATCATCCTGTCAGGGGCCCACAGGGGGTGACACATCGTAGACTGTGGTTTGGGCGAAGGTCGTTTTCTATTCGTGCCCACAGGCACTCAATGCGTTCGGCTCTTGTTTGCCGTGAACCAGGACATCGTGACACATGAGGATGCTCTCTGGCATGATTCACGCAGCTTGCTGTCATCACTGGAGTTCAGGCAACTTGAGATCAACGGGGCCACGTCCTCCTGGCCTGTGTGTGAGGCCGTTTGGACCTCTGTTTTCTTAACTGGAGGATGGGGATGATAATGCCCCCTCACAGAGCCATGTGAGGGCCTGTGGGTGGGAGTGAGGGGATGGTGGGTGGCAGGTGGGAGTGGAGTATCGTGACTCTTGCTGCTGCTGTGAATGGGGTGAGGCACTTGTGCACCAGGACAGCTCCTGGTGGGGAGGGGTCTGGCACGCGGTAATGACGATGAAAAGCACACTCGCTTGTTGTTGGCTGAGTGGAGGATGTCTTCTGAGACAGGCCAACACACTGCCTGCAGTCGGGTTTGCTGCTGTCCCTGTCTGGCCATGACTAGCACCTCAGCCCCTGCTCCACCTCAGGGAAAACCTTCATGGAATTGTTGGGCAGCGAGGTTGGGAGACAGAGGTGACTGTGGTTTTTGTGTGTTTCCTTTGCCATATGAGTGACCAAGATCCGGGTGTTAGCTGAGGAGGACCCTGCAGGACCCTCAGTCTTGAGGTGGTGTGCTCTGTTGTTGGGAACAGCTCTCCATTCCTGGGTGGGTGGGCGCCACACTAGGTGCTGGACCAGGAAGGTCGAACCCCTTTTAGGTTTAGAGCGGAGGCAGAGGGGTGGTTGGTGGCTCTGGCCTTTTTAACTGGGTAGAGGTTTTGCAGATCTCCCAAAGTAGAGTCCAGCAGCCTGGCCAGTCCGCTGACACACTTCCTGGGCCAGAGGCGGGTTGGGTTACTGCTGGGAGCAGGCTCCCAAGCCCTGGGGAACGGCCCTGCCTCGCTGGTCTTCTCTTGGTGTGGTGACCTCCAGGGACAGGCTTGTGGGGATGCAGAGCCGACACTCGTGCAAGCATGGCACCTCTGTTGCTACTGCTGCCTGGGCCTTTGCACTGAGTGGAGCTGCGCTGGGGCCCGAGACTCACAGTGGGCATGGGACACTGCTCATAGGCGGGGCCGCAGAGGAAGCCTCTGGAAACAACTCTTTGGGTTCCACGGGGCTGCTCGGAGCAGAGGCCCACTCACTGCGTGTGGTTCTTCTGATGGATATGTGACCCTCAGACTACACACACACACTCACACTTTATTTACACATCAACAAATGTACAATTCCGCAGACTCCTACACTTGTACACATTCGTGAGCTCAGGCCCCCTCACTCAGATGCATGCTCACACATTCTCTCTGGTGTGCACACCCCCCCAGGTCGTCTGAGCAGGTCCTCCGTGTGGAAGATCGGCACCATCCCTTACATCCCTTCGCATTTACACCCTGTCTGTTGTAAGGCTTTATCGTGGGAATGGGAGCTAAAGCAGAGTGAAGTCCACCTATGGGAGGGCTGGCCCACTGCCCCACCTGCATGTGCCCTCAGGGCCAAGGTTGTGGTCGTGGGCATTGAACCTGAGGGATGGGAAGGCCCTGGCTCCTGTGGGCTCATATCCAGAGCCTCGCTTACCTAACAAAGGAGAGTCCCCCACCAACGAGTGCTTTAGCCCTTGGCCACCTGGACTTCCCGGACCCAGTAAAAATCAAAAACCCAAACTCAGTGCCATTGAGTTGATCTTACAGCAGCACGATAGGACAGGATAGAACTGCCCGCGTGGGTTTCTGAGACCGTAATTTTTTACGAGAGTAGAAAGCCTTGTCTTTCTTCCTTGGAGCACTTGGTGGTTTTGAACTGTTGACCTTATGGTTAGCAGCTCAGTGCATACACTATGCCACTCTGCCTGCATGAACTTGGTCACCCTATGAACTCCACCAGGCTAGGAGTGCCAGCCCCAGAGGCACCTGGGAAGCAGGCCTGGTGATCTGCTTCCTGAGGTTACAGCCCTGAAAGTGCTCTGGCATGCAGGTTTTACTCTGGTTGATGGGAATCATGTCCCCTAAGGGTTACTTAAGGAGCCCTGGTGGTGTACTGGTTACGAGTTGGCCTGTGAGCCACATGGTCAGCAGTTTGAAACCACCAGCAGCTCCCTGGGAGAAAGAGTGGGCTTTTTATTTCCATAAACAGTCTCAGAAACCCACAGGGGGTCACTATGAGTCAGTTAGAAGGGTTACTTGGGAGTCTCTCTGCCTGGCCTGATCCATTATTTGCATAAATCTCCAGGTGTCGTGGGGCAGTTTAAAAACAGAAAACACAGCTAGAGATTTTACAGTCCTCAAAGTCCCCTGGAGTACTCTGGAAGCCTGGCAGCCTTAGAATGATGGCTCAAGGAGATTACAAATTCCACTATAATTCCCACAAGCTCCTGTTTAACAAAGGGGACCCCTGGGCCCATCTCTGTCCCAGAGAGATTCCAGCCTTGTCCCTTTGAGAACAGCCCTTCACCTTTCCGCTGAGGAGGATGGCCACTCTCTTTCTGCAGCTTCTCTAGGTTCAGAGGCAATGATAGAGCGAGCCCTGGAGCACTTTCACAGGAGCCCTGGTAGCGCAGCAGTTTTAATAAGCACTAGATTGAAAACCAAAACTGCAGTTGGGCCCACGGGTGCTATGGGTATCTGTAAAGATGGCAGCCTCCGTTTGAACCCTGTGGGTCCCTGTGAGTCAGAGTGGACTTGACGGCAGTGGGTTCGGTTTACAGTTTTCCTAGTGCCCAGGCCATCCCGTATGCCAGCGGTCATTGTCACCTTCCCATCCCTGTGCCCGCACCAGTGGCTTTCTGAAAGGGGCTGGTTGGTTGTGCTGGTTTCACATCAAGCCCTCAGTCCAGGTCCTGCTGCTCTCTGGGGCAAGGCCCCTGTTCCCAGCGCATAGCAGGCGTCCTTCCTGTAGCCGACCAGCCCACAGACTCTGGCGGGCTCCAGTGGCCAGATGTTTCCCGGCGGGGTTTAAGGGGACCCGCCCGCCTCAGCTGTGAGCCAGCTCAGCGCAGAGCAGCTTGCGTGGAGTTTTCCAGAAACACTGCTGCTGAGTGCTAGCCACTGACCTCCCCTCCCCCACTGCCGGAGCATCAGTCACATGCATCTCTTCTGGGAGGGGTGACTGGGGTCGGGGGGCTGACATTTCCCATGTGTCCCCAGAGGCTGGTACCGGTCCCTGCCCAAAGGCTCTGAGCCTGTCCCTGAGATAAAGAGCGTGGTCCCTTGGGCTCCTGCTGGGGGTGGGGCAGGCCAGGCCAGGCCAGGCCATGTGGTTTATGTCAGCCTTGGGAGGAGGGGAGGGAGAGGTTTGTTTGTGCGCCCAGGCCCAGGGCCTTCCCTGCTGCTTCCTTCTCTGGTGGAGAAGTCTGTCTAGCTCGGACTTCTCCAGCCGGCGCTGCCAACAGTGTCCCGAGTCAGCCACGTGCCACGCTGGCAGCCACCCGTACCACCGTCCTCCCTAGACACCTGGTGGCGCAACCATCACACTGGTCTGCAGGCCGTGCCACTGTCTCCTTGGGGCTGTCGCCCTCCCCACGAAACTGTTAAGACCCTGACCCATGACCCCCTGCCTCTGAGCTCAGTCTGTGGGCTGCACGTTGCAGTTCAGGTGGCTAGGTGCCCCCTTCTGGCCATGAGGCCTGATTGGAAGTGGTCACTCTGCTCCTCGTAGGCACCTTTCTGAGGCCCGTGGGTTGCCTAGGAAACAACAGTCTCTTTTTGAGGGTGACACGCTGTGGACGCCTTTCCATACGGCCTTCAAGCTTAGCCTGGGATTTTTAGAGGCAACCAGAAGGGGCAGGTGAGCCACAAATGGTTATTAGCCTGCCCGCAGCCTCCTTGCTGCAAAAGAGGAACCGGGAAAGATCAGAACCATCTCTTCGGAGAAACCACGATGTCACCCCTGACCTGCGCTGTGAACTCACGGCCAGTGCATCAACTCCGATGTCACCCAGGAATGCTGCAAAAGAAACCCAAACCAGAGCCACTGGCCCCTAGCAGACTGCCGCCTGAGATGGGAGGAGTAACGGTGAGCAAGGAAAGATGGGGCCACGTTCGTGTCAAACAGGAATGCGAATGCCGACCTTGGCACATTCAAAACCAAGGCAGATAATAACAGCAAGATCTCCGCAAAGTCAAGGCGGCCCCCTCCTCACCCTCCATCCTGAACCCCGCCCGGACAGGGACACGAGCAGCTAGCTGGCGACGATTTGAACAGCCTGCCCTCGGGAAGCCAGGAAACTACGACTCCCGTGAGGCCTTGCGCCCAGGCCGCTGGTGCGCAGGCGTGCCGGGTGTACGCGGCCCGTTCTAGAACGCCCTCGCGGATGGGCCGCGGCGCCATGTTGGGGCAGAGGGGAAGG